GTACCTCGTGTATATATATATATATATATATATATATACAAACGCTCGCTATTTTCGCCAAATTTTCCATACGATAAAAATATAATCGATATTTTTCGAAAGAAGAATCGGGACGAAATGAAAAATATCGCGTAACGAATCGAATTTTTGAATTAGCTTCAGCTGAATATATATTGGAAGCAGAAAAGTGGATAATTTGACAATTGGCGAGCGTGGAATCATTTGTTTCGCGTTCTCGTGCGAGCGTTCACGATGCGAAGGCAATTCGCATGGATTGGTTACGGAATGCGAATACATATCTTTTTATCGGGCAAATAACGCGACAATCATGCGACGTATTAGCGAAATGGTATTACAAGGGCTCCGAAAGGCATCACGGCAACCCTAGTCGCTCGACTCTGCAACTAACGCTGACGACATCGACAATAATGTAATAGCGCAAAGTAATTCAGCGAGTTACCGACTACTTACTAAAATGCCAGGAACACTTATGATCTTTACGCGTTTTGCACACCCTGCACTCTCTCTTACGTCTCATACGTATAAATAGATATTACGCGATATAACCGAAATTTAAACTTCCCTCCCCGCCCCCCGCCCTCCCCAGTCTTACCTTCCTATCTATGCATCTCCATTCTTTTCCTTTATTCCCCTCCCCTGTTCGATCGACCAGTAAGTAATCAGAAAGTGAAAGAAGCAGAGATACAATTTTTGTTAAATTTGTCACGTTTGAACCTAGTTCGCGATAACTCTTCTTTTCTTCTTTTACAGTAATAACTCTTTGTAATTATTTCAATGGAAAGAAAAACATTCCGTTCCGTCAAAATTGGTAGTCTCGCGTGCAATGTGACACGTTCTAATTTGAAACCGTGGATTCGTAAGAATAAAATAAAATGAAATAAAAGATATCGGTAAACGGAGAGGATGAGTGATAAAATCATCTGGAAGCTAGAATCGAAACGAAACGATCGGAGGTAAAAAAGGAGAAACTATTGTGCATTTCTCGATAGAGAGGAATGTCTATTGTATACACGGAGAAGTAATACGCGCATAGAGTACTCGCCACTTGGAGCAATTGACCAAGCAAGTGTTTATCGTCCCCTTCAACTACGTGATGCTATGCAACATTCGTTTAATCTTGCTTTATATATGTCGCTGGCAACTGTCGTTATCGGTTCACTGATAACGCGCAATACCAGCGTATAATAAACGCTAATACATTCGTAGATAGGTAATTATCCGTAGAATTTCTGATCTGACGACGGTCTACGTGGATAAATCGATTGCTCGGACGTTAAGAACGGTTAAGAACTTCAAAATTGCCGCCATAAATTTAATGCAATTTAATACAAACGTTTGCGATTTATAGATTATGAATTTTTTTTTCAACAATTATTCTTCTCAACGATCGTAAAAGTTGTTACAACTTGTTAACGAGTATGAGCATGAAAGAATATATTTTTCTTTTTTTGTTGGAACGGGCTGTAACAAAATAATAAATAAATTTTCTTAATTGATAAATCTCGTATGGAAATCAATCTTTCCCTCTCTCTTTCGTCGACGATGCGAACGAAAAGAATTTTTGAACAACGTTTAAACGATACCTTTGCAATATGCAATACGATAATGTTATTGATTGTTGTCTTTTTTTTTTTTTTTTTTTTTTTTTACGAATAGCAATGACTCGCGGAGACACAAAAGTCAACGTTCATTTTAATAAAATACAACTAAAAATAGACGTAATACTTATAAATGTAAATAAAATTGTTTCAGTTTAAAGATTATTTGCCTTTTTTTTCTTTTTTTAATCTTTCTCCTTTTTTTCCTTACGCGATAAAATATGATAATTATTTTAAAATACCGTATCCTAAGAGTTCTTCTATCCATCCATCTTTTCCATCCTCGCTTAATAATCGCGTAAAAAAATAACTTTTGCCCTCTAAATCCTAACTAAAATTTCAAAGAAATATTTCCAACAAGAAAAATCCTTCGACCTTTCTTTTCCATTTCCTTGTTTTTCTTCGTCGAACGAGCACTTCGTTTCGGCCTACGTAATTTTTACAGGACGATCTCGAAACGAGGATCGAAGAATGGAAAGAACGCGAAACGCGCAGAGGACGGCGGGGGTCACAATCTCATCTACCAATATATATATATATATATATATAAATACGAATCCTAATCGGTCGGCTGTCTCTTTCTCGGCCCTTCAAACGTTTAAACCCCCGTTCGACGTACGCGAGCACACACGCTATTATCTTATTTACGCCTCATTGTCTCAATGTATATCATAGCGATATCCAGCGAGCGCAGCGTCACGGAGCAACAACACGTTCCAACAAATCGGTGTCCACGTGAAAGTAGCCCCAACGAATAGCAGCGCCCCCCTGCGTGCGATCTAATCCTAGTCTCGTTGGAATTATTTCACGAGGAGAGGAGTACAATTGAAAGAAGCTTGGAATAGAAAAACTTTCCTTCTTTCGGTTGGGAAGAGAAGAAAAGAGGGAAGAGAAAAGGAAAAGGAAGAGGAATCGAACAGCATCGACGCAATGTTCGATGGGAGACGAATGAGGGACCGAAACCGAAGGACGAGGATATTCGTGAAGGACGATGGACGATATGGTTTATGGTTATATGGAAGCTGTAAAGCAATTTCCTATTTCGTTGCCTCGACCTCGCCTCACCATTCCATTATCCATTGACTTTGCTCCAACGAAACTTTTATTCCAACCTATGTTTTGACAACCGTTGGGTTCTGCCTGTTATTTTTACGATCCCTCGCAGATGGATTTTCCATGGTCCATCCCGATTTCGTGAAATTTATCCTAACCTAATATTCGCGTTTTTATTCCGCGATTAGTGATTGTCGAAAAGATCGTTCGAATTAATTGCGATATAAGAAAGAATTTTACGAAGGAAGTAATTCTTTTTTTTTTCTTTACCTGGATTTTCAGAGTTCAAGAATGATTTTTCGAATCGTTAGAAAATCTGTGAAAGTCGATTAACGTTTTCGACAAAATTTGACAATAACGAGAAGAAGAAGAAGAAGAAGAAGAAGAAGAAGAAGAAGAAGAAGAAGAAGTAGAATTCGAGGCTAAGGTAATCGCAATGTTGATCAGACAAATTTTTTTAAAAAAGTTTTGAACATTTATTTTGGCGATCATACGTTCACGATCCTCGGGTGTATACATATGTACATATATCGTGTCTATATCTTACGAATAACAATTATCATCTATGTACATGATATAACAAATTCGACGAATCTCGAAAAATCAGGAAATTAATTCGATTCTCCTTTCGATTTTTAAAATCGAATATAATACTTATAATACATTTCGATTGAAATTCGATCGAGAGCGACAAGAGATCATCTAAACGAATTATTTAATTATTTACAATATTATATTACTCTTTTATCATTTAACATGATCACAAATCGCGCGGCCAGGATAGCGATCACGCATCAAGCAGAATCGCCGACCTGTGTTTTCGAATATTCGTAGGCGAATATTTACTTATTTACTTAATTCGATTCTAATTCGATTCTTTAAACTCTAATATTTACAGATATCGATACAAGAAAGAAATTAAAATAAAAGTACATACACTGCACACGCATTAACCGGGATCGAGAAGATAAACGTATCCGATATCCTTGGACCAATTTGAATGAAACGCCGGTCCGGAATCGGATCGAAAATGAGAAATCAGCTTTCTCTCTCTCTCTCTCTCTCGCTCTCTCTCTCTCTCTCCTCGAACTTTACCACTCTTTTCTCGCGCATTTCAATTGTCCCACGAGAGCAACAGTCCGATAAACCATTCGTTTCGAATATCACCTTGTTCGATTCTATCTATCCGTGTAGAGCACAGCGTTCGATCTCAACAGCCATCGAGAAAATTATCCTCTTGATGATAAAATGATACTCGGCCAATACGGTGTCCACAAACTCTGGCCATTCTCTCCGGCGTGGCGAATCGATCAGCCTAAATCATCGACATGGTACAACTCCGGTTTCCAACCACGAGTATCGACTTGCAACAATCAGATTCAAAGGAGGCCTGCCTCGATTGCGAATGGTCGCCGATGGCGACACGAAGTCCGGATACCTTGGCGATCTGTCGCCTAAATCGTGGACGACGTTCAGCTCTGCCTGCCGGTGAGTACGGTGATCGGTTTCAACAGCAACTGGGGAGGACTGTGCGGCAGGGACCTCGGTTGCTGCACCCCGACCGAGTTGCAAATGGTGACCGGTGGCGAATGGGGCGACATGGGTTCCGGGCTGCTTCCCGGGGACGCGGTGGCCGAGGTCGGTTGGCTCAACAGCGGTGGTTGATTCACGTGGTATCTGGCGGATTGCTGTTGGTTGTGCGCGAACACCGCCGCGGTGCTCTGGTGCTGGTGGGCAGCCAGCGACCTCAGAGTGGAGTAGAAGTCGTAGGGTGTGCCCGACACGGGGATACCGGAAGCGGCGATCCCGGCCGGATACCCGGCGGCTGTCGGTGGCTGGAGCAACCTCTCCATGGAGAACGGGCCGTGTTGAGGGGGTGCGGCGGTGGCGGGCAGTGGTTGCGGTTTGCAGGGCAAACTGGTGCTCGAACTCGTCGCAGCGCCGGGCAACAAGCTCGCCGGATAACCGGCAGGGGTGGAGTAGGCGCCGGTTGCCGGTGGATAGGCGGCGGCGGCTCGATGCAAGTAAGGGAGGGTGTAGAGGGACGCCGGCCATCCCGGTGGCGCGTACGCCGATGGGTACAATCCACCGAGGACCACGCTCCTCTTGAACGCCGCCAATCGCGACCTCGACGCGGCGGTCGTCCTCCGCCGAAGTTTGCCCGTCGTCCCACCGATGAACACGTCCTCGGAACTCGGATCCAGCATCCAATAGTTCCCTTTGCCGGGGTCGTCGTAATGGCGGGGCACTTTGACGAAACACTTGTTCAACGATAAGTTGTGTCGGATGGAATTTTGCCATCCTTGCTTGTTGTTCTCGTAATAAGGGAAATGGCGCATTATGTACTCGTAGATACCGTTCAACGTGAGTCTTTTCTCCGGGCTCTGACGAATCGCCATCATGATCAACGCGTTGTAACTATACGGTGGTTTCTCGCATTTCTTCTTGTCGTCCGACTGCCGATCCTTGGAATCCTTTTGCTCGGACGAGTTGACCGTGGTGGCCGCGTTCCTCGAGCAATCCAATGGCGGCGTCTCGGCACCGCCGTCCCCTGTCACGTCGAGATCGCTCGAATCCTCGCTCTCGTCGACGTGGCTTATCTCGGGGGATGATGGCCGGGTGACCGCCGGCGCCGGTGTACCCGCGCATGCCTCCGGCAAAATGCTGCGGATACTGAAACTGCTCTTGAGAGGAACTCGAGGTGGTGGCGAAGCTGTCACAGTTTGTTGCTCGCCCGATCCCTCCATATTCACCATTCTTTTCACCCTTCCGCTCGAAAATTCCGCTCGACACTTTCTTCCTCGGCACTCGTCGGGGGGAGGAGGGGGGGAGGGAGGGGGAAGGGAAAAAAAAAAAAAGAAAAAAGAAACGTTAAAACACACAAGGATCGTTCCGCTTCGAGATCTTCTCTCGTTCTTCACAGCACAGGGACAAACACGAAGCAAATGTCCCGAACGGTAAATACATCACTGTATTTAACTCGGTGATCTACTCGATACGGAAGGGGGGAAGGATTTTCTTTTTTTTCTTCTTTTAACTCTTTTTCTATACTCCTTACTCCGTTTACTCTTCTTCTCTCTCACCGGAAAAACTCTTATTCCCGATCTCCCTTTTTTTTCCCACTATACGCCGTTCCACTCGTGCGAAGCAATGCCGCATATCTGCCGTCATCCCCGCCACGCGCGGTATATATACGAGTCGGATGGCCACGCCTCCCGATCTATCGACTTGGCGCAAACAGAGGGAACGAGCCAATCGCTGTCCTCGATACGCCCCTTCCACCGACCACGTCCTCTCTCCCCACCAGGATGGTTTGCGGCCAATGTTTGACAGTAAACTGTGCAAACAGCGCGGAGTTAGGACGGGGGCAGGGATTTCGAAGGTGGCCGATGAGTAGACGAGCAGAGGACGATGGTGGGGAGCGCAGTCGCGACTAAACTCGAACCCGCGAACCCGCGTATACAAACAAATCCAAACGCGATATCTGTTTTCTACGCCCTCGTACTGCGTACGGGTGTTCGGGCGACCAACTCTCCACGGGAACCACGTTGTTCGTCCACGCGTGAATACACACCCGAAGGGGGGTGAACGCCCTTTGTTGAAAAGCCGCCTGCCAATGCTCTTCGATCGAATATCGAATCCAACCTTCTCGAAATCGATATCCTTCTCCCGTTATTTTCCCATTTCGTACCGATCTATCTCTACGATTCCTTTTTTTTTCTTTTTAAAATAAATGAGTACATTTATATACGATGCGAAACTCCATTAAATAACGTGGATACAAAGATTTTCGTAAGGACGACAATGGAAATAAAAGGTGTGCTTATCTATTTGCGATCATTACGACAACAATATTGCTTTCTTGCTGATCGGTTAATCCTATTAATGTAACAATGTTGAACAATTGTCTTGGGTAATAATCGTTTATCCGATTCGGTCAACGGTCCCTTGTTAACCATGCCATAACGTGTCCCTTCGACCGTAATTTATGACGGAAAAATTAAGGATATTTAAGGATATTTAAAATGCTCGATCGAAACCTACGAGTGGAATGTTTGTTTAGGAATGTTGAATTATCGATCGGCCCTTTCTTCTTATTCTTTCATTAAATACCTCTAATTTACCTTTAATTACGCTTTTTTGGTAGAAAATTTTTTTTTAAAACCATTTACAATCCTGTTTGACGATTGAATTTTAAACATTTCTTCATCGCGTTTTCCATCCCCGAATGAATTAAAATCGCGTTTAAAAATCATCGATGCAATTTGCATTCATCGATTCATCAATTGATTCGTCTTGAATTGAGATAATGGCTACCTGCGAGCCCGATGTCCAGAGACGCGTTCAACCGTGCTGGTCGGCACTTTTGATGTATATGCCATTTCACGGGCGTAACAGCGCGTATGGTAGCTTTTGGGGCGAAGCTCGTTAATTCCGAAGAAAGGCACCGATGCCTTCTTCCCTCTTGGGAACCATGTCTTGTAGATTTTCATCTCTTGATGGGAAAAGACCACTGTTGGTGGTCTGGAAAAGATCGGGACGCACAGAATTTATCCCCCTCCTCCCCCCCCTCTCTCTCTCTCTCCTCTCTCCTATTCCCCTCCCCCTCGAGAAAAAACCTCGAGATTCTCGCGAGGTAAAAGTAAGAATGAAAAGATTTTTCAAATAAATTTTCTCTTTATTTACAAATACGCACAGTTCGTTCGTTAGAGAGTTGATAATTTTTTTTTTTTTATATCCAACGATAATATCTTTCAAAGTTCTATTCTTGCCTCTTCTTCTTCTTTTTTCTTCTTCTTTTTCTTTTCCGAACTATCTTCATTTCAAAGAAGGAAATCATTGTAAACTGATGGCCGACGACACGCCGGATTTCCCGAATTCGCAGAAAAAATAACGAGCTATCCGATTTTTCAAACTGTAACGAATGGAAATTTCTTCTACGATAATGGAGTAATGAACGTTCTGGGACCGAGATTTGATACGCTCGGCGAATCTGCCTCGAAATTTTCGGGTAGTAACGGCTTCGAACTCGAAACTCGTCGACATAAATTTTGAAACTCCACCGTTTGCTTAAAATTGTTTCTCGTATACTTCGATATATATATCGTTTAAGATTAATAAATAATTTGAAAATTGTTTCGACAATGATTTGCGGAAGAGATTAGAAACGAACGAAAATAAAATTTCAAGAACAAAAACTTTAATCCATTTAAATGTCGATAATATAAAATATATATATATATATACATAATTTCTAAGAAATGGATCGTTTCGACACGTTTGCGAGTAAAATTTTAGAGAAATTATTGCGCAACGTATCGTTTTCAACTTGTCAACCAAAGAACACTCGTTAACCAAAGAATGATGAAAATTATTCTCTCGGGAATTTTCGCAAATTTATTGGTTACCATTTGATCTGATCGCGAGACGTTCGTAGCCTACAGTAGGGAAATCATGAAAAGTACGAAAAGTACCGCGAAGGTGGGCGCAAGCAAGGATACGACTAAATCTATGGATCGCCATGGGGTGACGACGTTTTCACGATGGGGAGTCGAGCAGCCCGTAGCAGGGTATAAAGATATCGTAGCGAGCCGAAAAATGTTTCTTTCGGCCTCTATGGATCCCTCCTCTCGGCCACCAAACGAATCCTTCTCGCCGTTGTCCCTTTTTTTCACGTTTGTCACGTGCCTTTTCCCTCGGCCTCATCTTTCGCGCAGCCAAAGTTTCTTCCTTCTCCGCCGATATCCAATTTATACACTCCACTTTCTTCCTTCGCAATTTACTATTCTAATCTAGATTGTTAGTTGTACGAGTATGAATCACAATTTTTTAATAACATCGATTCGAGTCACGACGAAGAGCGAGATAGTTCTTACTCTTACTCTTAAATTACTAATAATTTATTCCACGAATGTATATTATCCTATACGTACGTATGTAAAAACCAGGGACGCAACTTTTGCAAACTTATCCAAAATTTGAGTTCGTTTTATACACGTAAGAGAAGGAAAATAGACACGATCGATCTGGAGAGAGACGCGTGATCGAGAGTCGTGACTCTGCGCGAAATAGAAAGCAATCCGGGGACTTGGGCAGCCCGCTTTGTTGAGCAAATAGACTCGTTTGTTGGTCCTCCACCGGTTACCTGCGCGTCGCATCAGGCCCCGGTAAAGGCGGCTGCGTGACAAGGGGATGAAATAATGGGGAGCGGAGACGTGGTCGTGCGCTCCGGAAAACTGATTTCCTGGACCGTGGAGAAACGGGCCACCGGCGGGGGGGACTGGAGGACTTGGAACACGCGGAACACGCCGTTGGAAGTCGGCCGTCACGGAGCTCAGCCGGCCGATCTTCCAAATCTACGCCCCACCATTCTAATCATGACGTAATGAGCGGCCGTGCTACCCTCCATTCGCCACGGTTGCTCCTTTCGCAGCTCGATCGTTAAAAATAGGATAGCACCGAGTTTCCAGACCCGACCGTCCAGTTAACTTGAAATTTTTGCCTATGGAGGTGAGGGAAAGAGCGAGAGGAAAGATGAAATATAACACTTTGTTTCCGTTCGAACCACTCTTTCTCTTTCGATTTATTCGTGGCGAGATCTTAGATTCCTCCCTGTAATGCAATTATGATTATCTACTTAATAAGAAATTTTGTTTTGGGCATTTTTGCCTGGGCATTTTTTTGAACGATTAAATGTGTACAAATTTCGCAGGTTCTAATAAAATTCATAAATTTCAATTATTATCTTAAATTCAATGTGAACAGGAATCGAAATGGAACGGGGAGGAAATATTTTGTTCATTTCTTTGATGTCGCAGATTCTAATAAAATTCATAAACTTCAATTATTATCTTATCAAATTCAATGTGAACAGGGGTCGAAATATGGGGAGAAAATATCGTGTTCATTTTTTTGAACGATTAAATATATACAAATTTCGCAGATTCTAAATAAAATTCGTAAACTTGAATCAAATCATCACGTTAAATTCAATGTGAACAAGGGACGACTATGAGGAGGAAATATTGTGTTCACGATGTTTCGGAACCCCGGTCAGTAAGTCAAGCGGATCATCTTGGCGGGGAAACGTCGAGCTAGATGCGGCGAGAAACGAGAAGTGTCAAAAATCGATGGAAATCCGTGGATCAGTGAACTTAAGCCAAGACCGCGAGAAAAAGAATGAAAGGCGAGAGCAAGAGATAAACCAGCTAATCTTCGACCGCTTCACAGGCCGAGGTTTTACACGGAGGATCATCCACGATCTTGAGGAACGGGTTGAAGTTTTAAAAAAGAGAAACCTGAAGGAACGGTCCTTGCGGATAAACGAAATTTCTCGAAAAAGTCAAGCGGAATCTGATGTCTCGTGACAACGAGAGTGCGTTTTTAAAGAGATTTGCTCAAAGTTAAAAAGTTAAGCTATATTATATACGATGTCTCTTCGATAATCTGTATAAATCTGTATAAACCTATCATTTTCTAAATAAGAGAAGTAACAAATTGAAAGAAGATCCTTATTTTTGATAAATAAGTAAAAAAAAAAAATAAACAAATAATAAAATTCTTTTCAATTATAAAAAGAATCTCCAAAATAGTAAACAGAATTCTTGATATGACACGTAAATAAATGTATTAAAAGAATATATCAAATCTTTTGACAATTCCTCAATTCCAACACATAGATTTTATTCCAAAATGGACGATGCGTATTCAGAAATTGGTGAAGATTTGTTCAAGTTTTTACTAAATATTGAAAAAAAAATAATTACAATTCTATTGAATTCTAATTCTACACAGATCCATTCCAAAATGGCGGAGGATGTATGGTATTCAGAGATGAATTCCAGA